CGCGGGCCTGGCAAAAGGAGGCGCGGGCGCGTATTGTGGTCTTGACGTGGCTCCGAAAGGCGAGGCAGCGGGGGCTATATGACGATCATAATGTGCCACTAAAAGGTCCCCGTCATCATCGTCGGTCGGGCAGCTGTCAATGGCGTGTCCGCGCCTGGCGGTCGTTTAGGCCCTCCAACAAAAGCCCCTCCCGCGACCTAACTTAACTGATAATGGGAGCTATTTCATACGAAATTATTATAATATTATTGTGACGCCACAATTATTTATAATTAAATTTGCTGACCACTATCTGCGGTTGTAGATTATTTATTATAAGTGGGCAAAGCATTTAGAGAAAATACATACCGTTTCTCTGGCTTGTTTGATGAAGCTAAAGCAAAGTTCCTGGTGAAGTGCATATGCCCTAAATGGAATATTGTGGTTTTTCCAGGAAGTTTTTGTTGCAGCTTTGTCCACTTGCTTGTCGGTAATCTCTCCATCTGTAAGTATAGAAAATACAAAATTATTTCCTGAATTTCCTTTTGGAAAACAAGTCACATCATCTTTGTTACTTTGCATTTTGTATTTACAGAAATGAGAATATTGCTATTATATTCTTTCTTACAGAGTACAGCGCAATTGATATTCAACTATTACTTACATGAGCACTGTGGTAAGAAGCATTATCTAGTACAATAAGAGATGGTTCATCAAGTTTTGGAAGTAGAGTATCCTCCATCTATTCCTCAAACATCTCTCCATTCATTGTTCCACGGTACTCTTCACTAATATTTTGCGATGGAAACACTAGTTCTGCATCATCCACAAACCCCTTCTTTCCTGCTGCATGAAAAACAATTCACTAAGATTCTTTCTCACACAGCTGAAAATACTTGAGTCTTGCCAAGTCTTGTTAGTATAATTAATAGCATAACCTAACAAAAAATGGTGTACAAATATAAATATCAATTATGTGAAAAGTGCTTAATAAAGTACACACATATTATAGATCTGCAGCTTACTTTAAAACTGTATTTTTGCTCAGATTCAGCAGTTCTGCAGTGAACATAAGAACAGTCTTCCTTGTTGCATTTCTTTTAATTTCTTCGCAACGGATATAATATCTTCTTGTCGCTGGCGTGAACAAGGAGGATGCACTTTGCGCCCATTCTAGCTTCTCTTTGTTCACGATCGTGTACAATTGTACACAAAAGCACGAAATATCACTAAAAGCTCTCAAACACAGGTCGCTGGTCGCAACACAGCACAGATGCCGGAAACCATGCAACATCACGAGTACGCATCACACATTCAAGACTCGATTATAAAACAATCATAATGTTTATCACATGAAAACTAAATTCAATATAATTTTTATAAAAAATAAGAATTTTTACATTAGAGCACAAAGTTCTGCACTTCCTAATCTCAATTATTTCCCGTGGCGCACTATATATTTGTCGGACGAGGACATCACAGCAGGGAGCGTCGTATCTGTTTACAAGTTAGCCAACTGCCAACGAACGAATGGAGGAAGGAGAGTCTATTAAGTTCAAGGACACAACGACTATAGAATCGACAGTTGTGTTGCCAGCACTAGCTCTCAAATCATCCCATCCTTAAAAACATTCTTCTATAGCAGGGATTCGAGGCGAGGAAATCAAAACTATCACCATCAGCACGTATATTTGACCATATCCATTAAAACTCTTAGTAACATTTCTGCACTGGAGAATGCAAAATAGGAATGTTCAATTGGACATTTGTAATCTAAGCTTTTTTCGTTTTAATAAACGTCAGGCAGGCAACACCTAAAAAAAGCTCCAACAGTGTACCGTTTGAATAGTAGATTAGTAAGCACAATGCATTCCTTCGGCTCAGAGAGTCCACCCTTGGGGGTGCTCAACAGAGAGTATATGCTCAAGAGTGCTCAATGCCTGGCCTGAGCCAGATGGCAGGGCAGGTACACCCTTGGAGCCCACTAAATAAATTTAGCGTGTACAACCTATAATCCACTATTTACCGACGCACTCCGTGTGTGGCAGTACCCCCTCTGTGGTGGCTAGTCAACAGGTCATCGTAATAGAGAGGGAGAGAGGGGGGTGAGAGATTACGTAGCAGTACTAAAGGCGAGGAAGTATGTGCTGTTTTGGCATCACTAGTTAATAAGTGTGTGACCATTTTAACGGGTGGTGGTACAGAACTGCACAGACTTTCTCGTACTAATTAGTTTCCTAATTGCTTTAGTCTGGACGAACTTTTGGTTTTCCTTCACCCTTTTCCCATGATTTATCGCTGCCAAAAGAATTTTTTTCATGCATTTTATTAAGTATTTGGTTTCCAAATGGTAGAACTGAAATATGATTTTAAGAATGTTATAAAAGAGTATTACCTAGGCATACAAGAAAATTTCCAATGACATTTGAACAGGTTTTTATTTTAGAAAATGTTAAAACGTTTCTCGATGCGAAATTTGAAGGTCTTTTCAACAGAAAATATTGGAGTTTTCCAGAAACTTCATATACCATTTGAAGCACAGGTACAAATGCAATAATGTATACAAATGGCAGGTCATGGAAATATTAAAAATCCTGAAAGTGCAGGGCGGTCTGTATACTGTACATTAAGTGAAGAATAATTGAATTGAATTGAATTGGCCTTATTTTACGTGGCGAGACTCGGGCCATCAGGCCCGCTCTTCCGTCTGACCACGCAAATTTCGCTACGCTCCTTTCACCAACTAGGAGAGAGAGGAGGTATTTCTTGGGCGAGAAACAGGCGATTTGAATTTAGCTCAGAGGCGTCATTTAGGCTTGAGGATCTTTTACATGCAAGTAAATCTACGAACATGGGACAGCCGGCTTTACTTCCCCTCCGAAGGATTTTTTCGCCCTTAAAAATCCACGGCTTCGATCGGGTTTGAACCCGCCAACTTGGGTACAACAGTCCAGTACGCTAACCGTCACACCATCGCCGCCGCAAATTATGCAAAACAAATTTAATTTGAAGAAAAAATGTCTTTCTTCAAAGTTGTAATTCATCATCTTTCCCAATTTTCAAAAATTCAGGGATGTAAACGAAAATACAAACGCGGCGAGACATTCGCCATTTTCTTAAGCGTCATTTACGCTACCCGAGGACAAAATGTTTAAAAAATGGAACCATTTTTTTACAATGTCGCATGGGCTTCATGTCAAGTAATTCCCAAAATTAAAATATCATTATTAAATTAATGTAAAGTACCCCTAAATATTAAAATATTGGTTTCAAATTCACAGATCTTAGGACATTAGTCAGATCTATTGGGGCCTCTAACTTTATTACAGACAGAAGTTTTGCTGTCAGTCGACGTTTAGTAAGCAAGTACAAAACATGGATGGACACGACGTGTTACGAGTTTTTTCTATATTTAGCAAATGAATTTACTCAGCTTCGTTGCAACGGCCCGCAAATAAGATTTTCCATAACTTTCTCTATACTGGGTAAGCAATAGCGAAAAAGTAAACGGAAAATAATTTGATGTGATCAAGCAAGCTTATGTAAAATTATTCTTGCTTTTCGGTATTATGTGTTTCATTTGCAGAAGTATACGTAAGAGAGGACTACTGATCTCGACAATCGAAATAAATGCAACCTCCAAAACCGGTGCTTCATTTGAATTAAACTTTTTCACGTTAAAGCTGAGCTGTTAGTAGGGCAGAAATTTCAATACATGCAACTATTTCCAGTAAGACGAGAAAGTATTTGCAGTTGAAGCTCAACTTGTTTTTTAATAGCTGAAGATAAATTTATGATTGTTCTGCCAAACAATTGGAACAAGGTTCTAAGGGAGGCATGGGGTCATTCTTACTCTGATTAAATGCAACATTGTATGCAGCGCTCGTTGCTAAATAAATGTATTGCAAGCTTCATTAATTACATCATTTATAGTATAATTAGGCATACATTTGTTGAACTCTCACATCACGTTTATAAATTATTACTTAAAATATAAAACACGTTTGCCACATCCTAATGGTATACTTCCAACCAATATAAGGGACCCTGCACACGAGGGTTGCATTAACGCGCGTCCACAATAACTCATCTTACGGGGAAAGTCACGAGCGCTTTGGCCATTCCTCTTTAGAAGTTATAAGAACTAACCATGCACATTTTATATGCCATTGAGATTATATTTCATTTTCTATACACCTTTCTTCATAAATTTCAACAAAAATATGCTTGGTAAACGATTTTAACTTACTTTGAGGAAGAAATAAGCGATTCATCTTATGTTTTGTTGCATATTCTGCCTGGTTTAAAAAAATACATCAAGAAATATCCAACAATTGCCCTAATATTTTATTTTTAGGAAAGGGAAGGGAAAAAAAAATCTTTCTAACCAATGTTTAGAAATAGATTCTATAAAAAGATGAACAAAATACACACTAACAGGAAAAATCAGTGAAATATGCACTAACATTAATGTAGAATCCAATTGTAACCAAATGTCAAGAAATTTCACTTAGCTTTACCCCGACAACAAAAGTGAGCACAGTCAAAACCTGCTCCCTACTCGTAAGTTCATCTATGACATGCATCAACCTAATGATCGTGTGACACCTGAACAAAATTAATTAGGAAGTAAATTTGACATGATTTTCTTCTTGCTGTTTTACATAATGGCAACCACAAAGCACATTTTGCAATGCACTGGTCAAACATTCCCCACAAGTTTGTTCCTCAAAGGCCATTTCTTCATTGCAACAGAAAAGCAGTTTTAATTAACAGGCAAGAATCACTTTGTGGAATTAACTACAATAGACATTGCTGAATATGGTACATAGCTACAAAAAGCTATATCCATTACCGATTTCAAACCAGTATTGAACAAGTACAAAACAACCTACGACTCAAAGCAACTGAGCAGAATCGCTGGCGCTCACGAAAGGAAGCAGAAGTGCATGAAGAGCACCTTCAAAATGAAACTCCAGTGTTATTAAGGGGTATTTTATTCTAATGTAAAAGGAGAAGGGGGAAGGATAGGGCAGGAAACATCTAAGAGATTTGCACTATATACAGATTATAACCCTTAGAGCAAGTCTGCAATAAGAAAACAGAATAACAAGTACATCACTTTTCACAAATACACATTGTACTCTATGTATACATCAGGTTTGGCAAGATAACAAAACAGAAGGAATGAAGATCAAGGCAAATAGGAGTCCTCTCTTCTTTCAATGGACTAATCTGTTCTAGGTTGGCAGAATCATACAGCATACACAGATTTATAACAGCAAGTCCACTCACACTATTTTGATTAGGGACATTAACAAAAAAATATATATTCATTAGACCCTTGAACATTTCATTCTCTTCCCTTTAGTTTACATGAAACTTCGGTAAACACCCTTTGGGCGATTAATGGATTTTTGAACCCATTTCTACAAGAATTTGACATATTTATACATCAGCAGAGTCTGTAAAAAGTGACATGGCTATTTTGACATGGATAAAAATGAGACTACTGGTAAATGCTAGAAATGTCCACAGCCTTCCTTAACAGGACGACGCTTCAACACAAGTCATTGTGACAATACAATAAATAACTTACTCATCTACTTCTAATATGTACATGGCTTGCACCATGCAGAACATCATTATTGTTCAAAACAAATGTTCTGCATGGTGAAGGGTCTTGCTGAAAATTTGCATTTTATCATGCTCACAAGATACTACCATTTAAAACAAACTTTCACAAATTAGTATAATGCCAACTCGCTACAGAAAATCCAAAATCCTGGTCTTCCTTCCCCTTGTGAGACTTGATGGGTAAAGCCCACAAGGTCAACTCAAGTTGCACACATGTACTACAAAACATGGGAGATAAAGTTTTATGTATATATATATATGTTTATATATTGTGTTCACACACACAATGATGTTGAGCTTCTCAGTTTGCAAGATATTGTTTATCACTCATTCAATGCTTTAAACTTAGGCCATAATTCACATACACACAAGCATACCGAACAATGTCCCCCTCAAAGACATTGGAAATGGCAGTACAAGTTATGAGACTATGATCACCACCACCAGACCCTCCCATGTACACCCTTCAGAGTAGCAAACATATCAATGCACATTATCTTTCATGATAAGGTATATTCAATCCATCATATCACAATGCCTGTACATGTTATTTACATTCATGGGAACAAGACCAGAATTGTTAACATTTTGCACCAACCACTTTCACCAAGTCATTATTATTATTATTAAATTCAAATATAACATATCTCAGTATTACAGTAAACTTAATTGTTTGACAAACTGTACCTGTCCTATTCTCACTTCAGTACAACTTTTCAATTCTGTGCCCTAACTGTGCTGATCTAATGCTAGCAGTGGTTTCAGCTGCGTCAACCATCCACACATGCATACCCTCATGGCTCGAACTCGACAATGATGATTCATGGGCTATAAAAACAAAAAGAAACACTGATATGTAAATATTTTGTTAAAAATAAACCAAATTTCCATTAAGTTTTCTTGAAATATATGGGAGTACTGGTAGAATTTTTTAAATTTAACTTAATGTACATAATCTACAAATATTCAGGATGCAACAAGCAGCCTCATAATTAATTGTGGAATTGCGAGTCACTAACGTTCTTCATAATTGAATTATATTGAATCTTCATGCCATAGCTGGTGAAAACCAAACAAACAAAACAGGACGGAGAATATCAAGATAGTTTCCAAATTGTCCTGACTTCCTCTTAGCTGAACTACACTCACTAAAAACATTCACAATTAAGGTTAACTGAAGCGACCACCAATAAAAAAGTTTGTACTTTTCTTCTCTCAAAAAATTTCTAAAAAATAAAGATTACACCGGAAAAAATGATAATACAAAAAGGGCACTATTCCTTTCTCATTAAGCACAAATCATACTGTTGCTGTATTAAGAAATGTAGTTCATGGATCCTCCATTATGTTTTTTTTTCCTTTTAACTTTATACTTTTTTTTTTGACAACTGCAAAGAGCCCAGACTGAGTGGGCAACAGACCCACTAGATGCAGAACTGGCTCAATTTTACCCCTCTACTCAATACTTCACTTCTTTTTATTCTTGTTGGTGGCACCGCGGGGTGGAGTGACTGGTCGACCAGCATTCAGTCCACCATAGGTGAATTTGCGCTTATCAGCAGGCTACAACAAACAAAGAAAATCAATTTAAGACTTAGAAGTTTTGAAGAATTGACAATCAACACTATAATGACCATGACACAGCCTCACTTTTCCTACAGCTGGCCAACTTTCAAAGAGTAATACAGCTTGCAAACTTAAAAGCAGGACTCAAATACATATACACAAATGAATTTTCACCTTCCACATCTACGTCAATATGTACATTTTTATTCAAACAGTTATTTCTGAAGTGTAATTTATTATAATAAATAAATATTAAGAAATTACTTCAAATCTAATTCTCATTTGTGGAGATTATTTCATTGAATTAGATAGAAAATCATACTTGAAAGTCTTAAAAAACAAGTGGGAAATTGAAAGAATGCAATGAACTCATTCTCTTATCAGGACCAATCTCAGTTTGAAGCAGTTGTTTCTCACAATTCTTTAATATCTGAAGATAAGTCTTACATTTGATAAGATTGACAATGCCATGCAAGGGTTTTTTATTCAGTAAATTTCAAATATTAGGTACAATTCATGGGG